GAAGCGTTGGATGAAATGAGGCAATATATAGTTGGTGCTGAGGGTCCAGAAAGAAAAGCAAGAGAGCTTAGAGTTCAGAAGTCGGTATCTGAGACCATGGCAGATCCTATCGCTCGTAAGTCCCTTCTATGCTTGGAGGCTCCAGCTATTGTTTCTACAAACTTGAACAAGGGGAAGGGCCTGGTGTTCGATTTTTCGGAGAATGGTAACAAGATTTCGACTGGCAAATCGTTGGGGGAACTGGTAAAAATGATGTCAGCGGTGATTCGTGCTGGGAGTGCGTTGGCAAGGTTCTCGTTTCCGGTTGAGGTTCAGTCAGAGGGTTCAGCAGCAAGTTGTCCATCAGCTGGAAATTCTTTTCAGTTTGGTTCTACGGTTAGGGCTAGTCTTGCTGAGGCTGGCTCTTTCGGGACCTATCTGAAGTCGGGAAAACCTCATAAACAGCCTTTCAAGAATAGAAGGAAGAAAGCTGAAATGTTGTTGCTTAAAAATCCAGAGCAACAGGTTGAGGAAGCTCCAAAAAAGAAGTCCAAACATAAAGCAGTAGAGGTTGAAGGTTCATGGAGTTCCGATGCGAGGTGTATCAAACCATTGATGATCCCAAGTGAGGGACTGTCTGATGTAAGCATCATTTCTTATACATCCAAACTTAGCAAGGAATGGAACAAAGGAGCTGAAATGAGTGATGCTAAGCTTGTAGCTGAGGAGCTTGGAGCTATCATTTCAAAACGCCAGCATTTTAATCATCAAGAGGACCAGCTGATTCGTGCCAATACTTATCCGGTTCAATACAAAGTGCAAGACAATCTATTTAAACCGCCAAAGCTCTTAAAAGAACCAACATGCGTAATTAATGAGTCATCTATGGAAACTACACTTACCACCATATCATTCTACCCACATTTGGAGTATAAAGGAGATATACAAGCTACAAACCGTAGTTATCCCATTCAAATCAAGGAAGAGCCGCCAAATCCTACCAAAACCACTTATGGAGCCAATTATGAAGATATGAAGCCGATTATGGAAACTTCAAATATATCTCATCTTAAGACATTATATTCACCCCTCCCCATGCCCACAGAAGCTTACAAGAGCTACACCACACCAGAACAAGCCAATATTCGTCCCTTGTTATCAGATTTCAAAGAAAATCATGCCAAAGAGAAGCTTTCCATACCTGAACCTAATTATCTTGGTTTAAGGATTCTTGAAGACGAACAACCACATCTCTCACTTAATATCGACCATTCATCATCATTAGAAGATTCAACACAATTATTTCTTGCCAAAGACCCATCAGAAATCCCCCATTCAGCGCCAAAGTCAAGATTACACCCCTTGAAGCCTAACGGCTAGGAGATATCATTCAACACATTTTATGCTTTGTTTTCATATTATTACCATTGCATTTTCTTTTCAGTAGAGCATTATATAAAGCTCTAAGTCATTGTATTTCAAAGTCACCAAGTTATAATTAATCAAAATTTTATTTGTTTTAAAGAAAGTTTATCTTTTCAATCAAACTGTTTCTGCGAATTCTCTTCTTGTGATTGTGGAATCAAAGCTTGAAGAATTTCGTGTAATCTCTTCTACCTCTCGTGTGGATTAGCTCTTGACCTAGAAAAATCTAACCTTTGGTGTTTGGGGTCATCAAACACAAATCGAATACAAAATCACCAGTCATTCCTCCACAACATTCAGCTTAAAGCAATCGATTCTAAAGAGTATACTTGGTGTCAAATCAAGTCTACATAACTGTCCAACGCTCAAGAATTGAAAATTCCCCGCCTTAAGGAGCCGGTATAAAACACTTTTCTGAGGTGATGTTCTTGATGGAGACGATAAATTGTAGAAATTTGTTGGTGGATCTTCAGGAATGGCTAGGGTACGATAGAGTTTTCACTGTAAATCTGGTAGGGACTTATGGGGTTTTAGCGCTTTTGTGGAAAAAGAGTGTAAATGTTGACTTCTTCTTTGTGAATAAGAATCTGTTGGATATCCATGTTCAGTTTGGAGCTGTAAGTTTTTTTGTCTCCTGTGTTTACGGTGCGCCTCAAGCTAATGGCCGTGCAGTTATCTGGGAACAGCTGTTATGTATTGGGGTATCAAGGAAAGATTGTTGGTGTATGTTTGGTGATTTCAATGAAATCTTACATCATGGTGAGAAAGTTGGAGGTTCTAGGCGTTGTGATTCCTCCTTCTTGGCTTTTCGTAACATGTTGAGGGCTTGTGATATGTCAGAGTTAGAGAGCAAAGGTAACATACTTACATGGGAAGGTTGGAGATAAAATGTGTGGGTTCAGTCGAGGCTTGACAGATATTTTGGGAATAAGAGTTGTTTGCTGAGTTTCTGGCTTCAAATCAGCTCTTCCTTGATAAGAGAGGCTTGGATCACATATCGGTCCTGATTAGCCTAGTATCTTCTCAGCGCACTTATCGAGGGCATTTCAGGTTTGACAAGCGGTTTCTGCTTAAGCCAGCTGTGAAAGTTTCTATCCTTGAAGCATGGAGAGGGTCAAATCAGAGGGGGAGATGCTCAGTTTCAGATAAATTAAGGGCTTGTAGATCTGCTCTAAGCTTGTGAAAAAGGGAGAATCCAACGAATTCCCAAGATAAAGCAGCTCAATTGGAACAAGAGCTGGAACGTGAGCAATCGGCAAATAATCCGAATCAAGTGCAGGTCAGGCGTATGAAGAGGAAATTAAGGATAGCATATAAGGAAGAAGAATATTTTTGGAAGCAGAAAAGCAAAGTTAAGTGGCATAGACATGGAGACCTTAACTCCAAGTTTTATCGTGCTGCGGTAAAAGCCAACATGAATAAGATGAATCTGGAGCTGCTGGTGGATAACAATGGGGTTGAGGAGAGGTCAGAAGCCGTTAAAGGAGGTGTGGCAGTAGACTATTTCAGCTTGTTGTTTCAATCATCGAACCCTCCTCCTTTTGACTTTTGGTTCCAAGGGTTTCAACGGAGGATCTCTTAGGAGACGAACATAGCTCTTATCAAGCCTGTGTCAAGGCTAGAAATTAGAGAAGCTATATTCTCCACCAAACCGTCGAGTGCTCCTGGGCCAGATGGTATGACGGAAATGTTTTTTTAGCATTATTGGAGTATTGTTGGTGAGAAAGTTGTGGAAGAGGTTCAGCATTTCGTTGTGGAAGGGATTTTTCCTAAGGAATGGAACCACACTCATTTGTATCTTCTTCCAAAGATCACTAACCCCTCCCTTATGTCAGACCTTAGACTGGTAAGTCTTTGTTCAATCATGTATAAGATCATCTCAAAAATCTCAGTGATGCGCCTGAAACCCTTTATGTTTGACATTATCTATGTGAGTCAGTCTGCATTTGTGGCTGACAAGCACATTTCTGATAACATTTCGATTGCTCATGAACTAGTGCAGGCTTTACGGGTCCATGGCAGGATCTCTACAAACTACATGGCTGTCAAAAAGGATATGTCAAAGGCGTATGACAAGATCAAGTGGAGTTATTTGAGAGCGTTGATGGTGGCATTGGATTTCTATGTGAAGTGAGTCAATTGGGTCATGTTTTGTATGTCCTCAGTATCCTTCTCAGTGCTCATCAATGGCAATCCGCATGGTTTTATAGTGCCCCAACGTGGACTAAGACAAAGAGATCTCTTATCTCCTTTTCTTTTCGTGATTTGTATGAAGGGTTTAACTCATCTTTTGAACAGAGCTGAGAGAGAGGGACTCCTGAGTGGTATTCGCTTCTCGGATACTGGACCAGCTATTCACCATCTGCTGTTTGCAGATGATAGTTTATTTTTCTACAAAGCGGATGAGCAGCAAGCAGAGGTCTTGAAGCAGATTCTCAGAAGATACGGAGAGGTAACATGACAAACCATCAACTTGGCGAAATTTTCTATTTTTTTTTTGGTGCCAAAGTTTCAGTTACCTCAAGGACAAGAATTCAACAAGTCTTGTAAATCTTTGGTGAAGGAGGGGCAGACAAGTACTTAGGCTTGCCTGAATGCTTTAGCGGTTCAAAGGTTGAGATGTTGGGGTATATCAAAGATAGAGTTGAATCGAGGTTGTCTGGTTCCTATGCAAGAACTCTGTCTCAAGGAGGCAAAGAAGTGTTATTGAAATCTGTGTTCACAGCCATGCCGATATTTGCAATGACAGTTTTTAAGCTCCCAAAACGGTTTGCGCCAACATCACAAGTGCTGTAGTAGAGTTTTGATGGAGTACGGTGGAGCATAAAAGTAAGATTCATTGGATTAATCGGGATAAAAAGTGCTTGCCTAAGACTCAGGGAGGAATGAGTTTAAAAATATTAAGCTTTTCAACCAAGCTATTCTGGCCAAGCAGGCTTGGAAAATCCTTCGTGATCTGACTGGCCTTCTATCTCAGTACCTAAAAAAAAAATTTACTTCCCCGAGAGAGAGTTCCTAGGGACATCTATTTGTGTTAGGCCATCCTTTGCCTGGCGTAGTCTTTTACATGGGAGAGAGCTTCTTGTGCAAGGCTTGTGACTTATGGTTGGGAACAGAAAATCGATTAGTGTTTGGTTAGACCCATGGCTTCGCATTGAAGGAGGGTGAGCTCCGCAGAGTAGATTGAGAAATTAGTGTTTGGTTAGACTCATGGCTTCGGAAAATCGATTAGTGTTTGGTTAGACCCATGGCTTTGGAAAATCGATTAGTGTTCGATGAGAGATTGAGAGAGTTATACCCTCTAGTTAGAATTCTCGGTTTCTAAGTTAATGAGGTGGTAATTGGTTTTACTGGCTGCTCTGTTTTTCCCTAGTGTCTTAGGGATTTTTGATTACAGAGCCATGTTTATTCTCCTCTTGCTTGCCGGTTTCATTCATGTAATCGTCGAACTTGGTTTACTTAATATTACTCAGATGACAAGAAAAACAAAGAGACTTCCTAAACTATATAAATGCTCATACTCATGCTCTTTTTTTTTTTTTTTTTGTTCGAAGCTCATGCTCTTATGTTATAATTTCTCAAAGAGAAATATGAAGTCTGCTCTGTTCTAATTCATTTTTATCTAAAGTAAAACCATTCATTTAATTTAATTTAATTTTAATTTTAAACAAACCAGGTCGGGTTTACATATCATCCTCCTTAAGCCATCCATCCATCAGGTCCCATACAAAAAAACAGAACAAAACAAGTCCTTTGAAGTTTGAATCTGGTTGTAGAACATTGAGAGTGACTACAATGGCCGCATCTCAAGATCAGAGCTATGGTGCGACACCGGGACAGAGCCGTGTTGGTGGTCTCTGTCATTAGAAGCACTCATCTCTTGAACCGGCGGCGGGTTAACCACAGTCATAGGCATCACAAAGTTATCCGAAAGACGGTTCTTCATCTCACGGTGTTCTTGACAAACCGCACAGAAATGGAGACAACAATGCACCATACATGGATCACAAGGAGAGTTCTGTTTCACCAAACCCAAAACAAACATTCTCAAAACTCATCGATTTTTCAGTGATTAATGAAAAATTTTGGTGACGATTGATGATTACCTGGAGATGATACTTCCTCTGTAGAGTTTGCCTAACGTTCCCTGTGTAAATCCCACACATCCACCAAACAAACAACAAGCCTTCCCATATAAGAAACGACGTGTGTGGATCGATCCCGGGAACGCAAGCAACTATCGATGCAGCTGTGAGGCCTCCTTCAACTACGATCGAATGGCAAATACAAGCTTTGGTCCAAGAGGTTTCTTCTTCGCTCAGAGTCTCGTAGACACGTCCGAACAGAACACTAGGGCAAAAGAGTCCCTGCCAAACTGTAAAAGAAGATGACATTAACGATTAGAAAAACTAAGCTCCTTAAGCAATTTGTATATTCGATTTGTGCAAAAGAAACTCTGAAACTAAGCTTTTAAGCACTTTGATTTTTGTTTATACAGAGAAAAACGTACAGCTGCTCATGTCTTCAGTGCAACCGAATATTCCGGTAGTCCATGGCTCATCTGCAGGAGCTTCGAAATTCTCCGGCAAATCTTGGCCACACTCGTTGCATTTGTGAACATCTAACTGCGAATAAGTGTTTTTTCAGAGAATCAACAAACAGTCACAAAGATCTAAATCACATCGGATTTTGGGAAAAATTTGGAAAATTCGATGATAAGATTCAAGCACAAAATCACTAATCGAGCATGTAATCGGACAGAATCAAATCAAAATTTGGTCATTTGATGAACACGAGTCACAGATCTATAGCGGAAATCATAGAATTGCAGTTACATTATCGATCAGAACAATTCAATCCAAAGAAAAAACCGTAAACAGGTGATAATCCTCAGAAAAAAATCAGATCAGTCAGAGAGAGACATACATGAGGAACTTGAATCGGCTGATTGAGTTCGCCGGGATTAACCTCATCGACGGGAGCTTGCTCCTTCGTCAACTTCACGTACCTCGACGGTGCTCCTCCGTCCGACATCTGAATCCCAAAGTTTTCAACGATGAGAACAAAAATCAAATCAACCAAAAATCGAATCGGAAAAGGAAGCCAGACAAAAAAAAATCACGAACCATGAGAAGGAATCGAGAGATTGAAGAGTTCTTCTTTCTCCGATTGCTCGGATTTCTGTGTCTTAATTTTTTTACCTTTTTTTTTTTCAATTCTGAATAAGATTTGGGTTGTTTCTGTGCTTTTAACCAAACTGATACCAAACGGGATTAAGACTAATTACTTAGTCTTCTCTTCCGTTGACTTACCCAATTCATTAAGCTACGAGAGTCTACGTCTCACTATATATTTTTTATTTTTTCTGTGCAAAAACTGCTGCTGATATAAATTTAAAGTTCACATTTTTCAACAGTTCCGCTGTAGCACAAAGGCCAAATATAAATTGAAAATTTACATATACTAACAGGTTTACTATAGCACAAAGGCTAATAATCTTCGTGACGGACATTTATTCCAGTTTGAATCCCTACTTAGAATTTTTTTTTTTTCATTTTTTTCTGATCGAGACTCAATAACCAAACATAAAAGTGCAAACGTTCATAAATTATCAATCATAATCATCACTAGGTAAGTTGAATTAATTTTAAAATTATACAATATGATATATTTGATTTTACCCCTGTTCTTTTCAAATCCGCAGCAGTAACGTCTGCAACTAAAAAATAGTTGTTATCATCTATATTAAATAAAAAGAGCTATTTGGGGTTCCAGAAAGTATCCACGTTAGCTAAAAAATATTCTTTCACATAATGCCATGTGGCATAGATTTGTAAAGCTTTTTCAAAAAAAAAAACTCAAAAAAATAAAGAATAATAAAATAGTTAAAAATCAGTGACAAACATTAATGCAACACGTCTCTAACACACGTGAAAGAGTAGTCCATAAAAAAATTAACTAATTTAAGTTCAAACAAATTAAAAAAAAAACTTAGAAACAAATACATTTCTTAAAATCCAAAGTGAGGCCCAAGAAACCACCAATGAAATGCCTAATAGAGAACTGACCATCTTCCTCCTCAAAACTCTCCAGCTTCTGCCTGCTTCGTGTCTCCAATACCATCTTCCTCCTCAAAACTTTTCAGATTCCAGAAAACAAAATTGTTCGGTGATCAATTTCTCTCCCCACTTCCTCATCTTCATTGTCCACTTTATTCGATAGATTCAATGGCTTTAATGGCCACTCCTCTCATCCCTCACACAGGCTTATAAAATCAAACCCCACACAACCCTCCATCTACACAACCACCTCCAAAACCGTAGCAATCAAATTACCAGCTTCAATCATGGCTTCCATATCTCTTCGTCCTTTTGCTCAGCCACCCAATTTCCAGATTCTTAAGAACAATCAAGGTGACTTCTGCAATGAAGACGTATTAGTTCGCCTGATTCACTTTTGGATAGCCAAAAATTTCAAAAAAAGGCAACATCTTGATGGGTATTGAACTGATTTTTCTCGACTCAGAGGCACACTAATTCTAATCGTTGTTTCCATACAGGCTTTTCTTTTCTTCTATTATTAGGGTAAAATAAATTCATGTTAGCTCACTTAAATGCATTTTGATGATTATTCTTGCTTTCAGTATTTTAAGGAACGATAGACCTGTCATATTTTGTATTACTCAGAACAAAATGATTCACACCTATTTCTAGATTTAGTATGATCCTGTTTTGCTATTTAGCAATCACAACTTCCCCTTATCCAATAACACTCTATCTCATTTCTCTCTCACCATACTACTCTTCCTGCTATTAAACCTCTTTTAGTTTTCAATCCCACAGTCTAATGCAGTGCAAATTTTCATTTCTGCAAACCGGCTTTACCGCTTTGAAGACAAGCTCAGTTTACAAGTTAAAAAAAAATCATAATCAAACCATCCAAAACGCTTTACAAAGTCACCGACCACACAAAAGCCATTTGTTTCACCCGAAGTACCTGAGGGAGAGCAGGAAATAGATTACCAGATATTCCGACTCTGCACATTCAATGATTTCTCCACCATTGCCGACATGGAATGGAAACCGATCTCTTTGGTATGAAAATTCCTTTCATAAATCATTTGTGGCATTGCTCAACTTTATAATAGTTTGCCGTAACTAATTTCAGGTTATGTTTTCTTTAGATGTCATTGGACAGCTACATCTCATAAGCAGACAGTCACCACCACTGCACCTGAAGTTCTAGGCAACATATCAAAAGACAGAGTATTCTTGCACTTGCTTATGAGAGAGTAAAACTATATGTTTATCTTTACTCTCTCCAACTGCGTAAGAGTAGGATGACATCGGGTAATCAAAAACGTAAGTTGCACTTTAATGTTACTTCCTTTTTAAATATAACGACCCTGTTAGAGAACAAATAGAAGTCACACTATCTAATTGTACAGCTGAAAACACTATAACATGAATATACAAGGGAACAGCCAAATAATCTCTCCAGCAATAGGAAAAGTGAAATCACAGTTATCTCTGCTTTCTTTCTGCAGTATATAGTTTAACATACTTTCAATTACTATTTTTAAAAGTATCGTTTTGGTTATAAAAATTAAATGTTGGTTTGGGTTTATGGTTTTTATTGCACTTGGTTTGGTTTCGTTGACAGTAAAACAGATTTTGGTATTCTTTTTTTTCATAAGAATATTAATTTAATCCAGTTAAAAGAAAGTTTGTTTGTTTTTCAGTTTATGGTTTCTTTTCCCTAAATGAAAAATTGTTTATGTTCCACGTTACGAATGTGTATAGGTTTGACGTTACAAAAATGAGAACTGACAAAAAAATAAAAAAGTACAAAGACAATAATAGATAGAATTATAGATATACGGAAAAAGGCCATAACATAAAAAAAATTGTTATGTAAATTTCTATTTCAACTCATTAAATACAATTAAAATTTAACATAACGTATCCAAAGAATCCTAAAGTAAGAAACAAACACAGTTTTCATAACCCACCATTCACATACCAAGCAAAACTGAAACCAAAGAAAAATAACACCACAAAATAAGAAATTTACTTCCCTAAAAATACAAATAAAGATGCAATTAAGCCTGAAGGCTAAGTGAGGGAAATGCAAAACGAATGAAAGTGAAAAAGACATATCATTGAGAAATACAAGTTATAAATACTACAAAGATCAAAACCCAAACCAATCGTAAAAAGCAATTACACAAAAAAAATGGGAGACTCACAACCTCTATCACATTCTTTCTCATATCAATCAAGACCCTTTGCCCCCACATACATTAAGAAAAATTCATCTCTTTATCAGAAGGCTACTTACACAACACACCGATGTCCTCATACAAATACCGTTCGAAAAAAACGCAACACCTCTGACACTTACCACCATAAGAAGAAATATTGAATTTCTACTTACTTATCATGAAATTGTAGAGATGGATGCTTCAAGAATGGCTGAATACTTGCTCCGCTTCATCAATGTCGTAGCAATAACAACAAAAAAGTGAAAGAGGTAAAGCCATTGATATTTATTTCACAGTTACAGATTACAACTTGCGCAGGCTATATCTAAGATCGACACAAATATACTAATTGCAAATTTAGACATTGACCGAGGCAACTCTTGATGAGAAAAGTGAAGAATGTGCAATCTGTCTACAAACATTCAAAGGAAGAAATGATCTCAACAAACTACCATGTAATCACATATACCACCATCAATGTATTATCATTTAGTTGTATTCAAAAAATAATTGTCCAATATGTAGGGCAATTGTTCTTTAAAACATCTCCTTTCTCACTTATCAATAAACAAATTATTATAAGATCTAACATAATTAAACTCAATTTTCGTCAAATACATTTTGTACTTACAATATAATGATTGTTTTTACTTTTACTGCAAAATTTAATACACATAACTATCAAGAATAACGAATGTAGTACTCATAGCTAAATCCTACAAAACAAATATATGGCCACCATGTTTTTAATTTTTTTTTTTAAAACCATCACAACAACATAAATAAAAAAACAAAATAAATAAATTAAAAAAATACACAATAATTTCATCAATAAAAAAATATACATATTAAAATGAAAAAAATTAACTCAAAAACAAATTAAAACGCAAATAATTTAAAAGAAAAATATTAACAAATTCCGTGCGTAGCGCGAACAATCTCTAATGAACAATAATTCTTGTTACAATTGGCTATTGGGAGTAACTACAACAGTATTTTAAAACTATAGTGGTAATTAAGTTGATCAGTAATTAAGGAGACGCAGCATTAGATAATTAAAGAAGATGATGAAAACTACATCTTTTAAGTTTATTAATTGTTAAATCACTTATATTTTATTCTGACACAGACGCTGCAACAGCAACACATAAAAGAACAAGGCTTTTATATAAGTTTCATATAACAGTATGCAATAACATACTTAATTTTCATATAAATTAATTTAAAAATTAAATATTATATACATAGTATAAGATTTAGTTGGGTAAAAATACAAAATCACTATATAAATCTTCTATATCGCATGATTAATGACATGATTCAATGTTTTCACTAATGTTGGCTTTGCATATACTATATTTGTTAATTTGTACAAAATTCAAAATCTTATTATAAAAAGTGGATAACTAAATTTAAAATCATAAGTATTTGAATATGTATATGCTAAAGATAATTAGAAACAAAAAAATGTATACAACACAACAAAATTAGGAAAACAACAACTATAACCATAAACTAATGTAAATAATTAGCCTTGTTATAAAAAAAAGCTTTTAACTCCAAAAATATTTAATAAAACATTTCCCTAAATATAAAAGTATTTTAATAGATAAATGCATATAAAAGTATAGATTACTTTTTAAAACCGTTTAAATATTATCAATGGGCATTGATCGAAAGTTTGTATAAAATATAATATATAGATATAAATTACCAAAAAATCTAAGTTTTAAAGAAAACCTATGTAAAAACATGGTTCTATTAATTTCATAAATTAATAATTATTATAAAATAATCTTATATAAATATACAACTATGATAATTTACTAAAATATGAATATATAATTATTTATTTTTATTAAAATTGGAATAATTTTATGGTTTATCTACAATTTAAAAGTGAAATATTTAAAGATATAGTTAAATTTTTAAGAAACTGTTATTTTTTATTAATTATTAATAAATAATTTATTTAATTATAAAACGGTAAATTAATATTTCTATAAATTAATAAAATATTGAAGTCTCAATATTATTAATTTATAGAGTTTCTACTATAATTATATTGATTGATTTAAACCGACAAACTTATGCTTTTCGGTAATTTATTTAAAAAATTAACAAATTAAAATATTTTCTAACCACTAAATCAAAAGAAACACAGACAGATATTTTAGAGAATTTGGTATATGATAAATCAAACACTGATTCAAAAAAAGTAAGCAATTAAGAGGGGATTATTGGGAGAGGTATTTATGTAGATTTTAAGAATTTGTAAAGTTGAGAGATTTTAAAAATTTTTAGTGGATTTATATGGACTCGTAGAATATATTGCTATGAATTCTCATTGATTATTGTTGATTTTCATTGACTTTTAAGGTAACATGTATTATGTATATACTTTAGAAAATTTCCAAATAAGTCATTTAACGTGATATATATAATATATATATTGATGTGATCTTCTTCATTGGCCTATTAATCTTTCATCTTGTTCTTCAATCAAGCAAAAAAAAAAAAAAACAGGTATTTTCTTTGTTTTTATCATTAATTTATGTTTTATACTTGATGTTTTATTTGTTGGTTTGATTTATTTATGTTCATATGATTGTTCTCTACTCAGCATATATTATTTTATGTTTTGTAAATTTGTGTATTATTTTTAAGTTTAACTTTTTGTTTTTCTGTGTTTTTGAGTTTGATATTTTATGTTTGCATAATCTTGAAAATAGTTGTTAGATTACGTTGTTTTTATATTAACTATGAAATGGGTGATACTCAACTCAAAAAAAAAAAAATCAATATAATCAATGGAATCCAGAAGAAACAAAAGTATTGGTTAAGTTACTTGTGGAGGGAATTAAGCGTGGATGGCATGATTCTTGTGGTTTGATTACCAAGTCAATCGTGGAAAATAAAATAATACCATTCCTCAATGAAAGACTTGGATGCCAAAAAACATATACACAATATCAAAACAGAGTAAAGTACTTGAAAGTCCAATGCCAAAGTTGTTTGGATCTTCAACGTAACAGCTCTGGGTTCGAATGGGATTCTGAGACAAAAAAAGTTTACAGCTTCTGAAGAAGTGTGGAGTGGATATTTAAAGGTATGTTTTTTTTATACATAAAGTTTAATAATACAAAAAAAAATCATGATTGTATGTTAATCTATTTATTTTGTAATGGAATTTGACAGGCACATCCAAACCACAAATATATGTGATACGACTCCCATGATATGTTTGAAGATCTTCAAATTGTATTTGATGGTGCAACTGCTAATGGTAGTAAGTCAGTTGGATTGAGTGATACTACTGATGCACCCACTTGCAGAGTTGGTGATGACCAAGTGAAAGAAACCTTGGTTTTTTGCGAGAGTGGCGATGATGGTAATGATGCATCACCTTTTTTAGACAAAAATCTAAAAGGTTATGTCGAGAAATTTATCCCAAGAAAGAGATCTAGAACTGAAGCATGCAACAATTTAAAGGAGCTGAAGAGTGATAACAATGATCTTGTGGTCACAGTGAGCAACAAGATCCTTAGTATCATACAACAAAGAGAAGAAAGACAACAAAAGGAAGCTGAGAGAACAGAAGCTGAGAAAAAGAAAAACAGTGTTTGGGATGCTATGAAAGAGATCACTTATTTGGATGAACATACCAAATTCAAAGCTGTTACCCTTATCTATTCTTTAGAATGAAAGATGTCTTTGCTGATATGTCTCTAGAAGTACGCTATGGTTGAATCCAAGCCAATATTAGCTCCAAGTGATCTTCGCTTTAGTTATACACTTGATCTTTGTTTTGATTTTTCAATTTTCTTTTTGATGATGTTTCAGTTTGTTTTGAGATTATTTGATATTTATGCCCAAACATTTCTGGTTTTGGATTAATATTTATGCGTTAACATTTCTCATACTAGTATAGTTCACGTTAATCAATTTTTATAGCTATTTACTTTTGTATTGTTCATGTTATATTGTGGCTTTTGTACTATAGTCCACATTAGTTTTTAGAATCATTTCTGAGTTTCTGTTTCGTGCTTTAGCAGTAGTTGTTTTACGCTTTTATGTATGACATTAAAACATTTTCTGCATTGCTATTATACATGCTTGGTTTGGATAGTGTTGACTTGGTTGATTGTGTTCCAACTTGCAGGTGTGGACGAAGGACGTGACAGATCGTTTTCCATTATCACGGACTGTAGATTATTTGCATGTAGTGGTATGGTTGGACTCTTATATTCATATATTTCTTCATAGCTAACTAAAGGAATCTTATGTTCATATATTTGTTATATTTTAGCCATATATCTTCGTCATGTTATCTGAAGAGAACTTCCTCTTGGTCTTTTTAAGTATTCTTATAATAATAATATTATATTCTTGTAAGTATCTTATCATGGAAAAATACCCGTGAAGAAGAAGCAATCCAAATAGAAGATGACGAATCAGATTTGGACATTATGCTATTAATGTTGGACAATATAGCTAGAGCTACTGTGAAAGATGTCAATCGTATTGAACGCCCTCTTCGTCGACCGATTACTAACATTGGCTATGCTTACATTCAAAAGGCTCTCAAGGAGGAACCTGAGCACTTTCGATCGTTATATCGTATGTATCCAACATCATTTGAGAAGCTATGTGATCTTATTAGAACCAAGACATCTCTACAAGACACCCGCAACATATGCGTTGAAGAAATGGTGGCTACGTTTCTTCTCACCATTGGTCAAAGTTCAAAATGTTGTTATACAATCGACACATTTAAGAGATCAGTATTTGCGACAAACGAGAATTTTCATAAGGTTCTAAAAGCTTCAAATACCATGGCGCCAGATTTAATGGCGAGACCTGGAGTCACAACATGTGCAAAGATAAGAGAGAGCACAAGATTTTATCCCTATTTTAAGGTACACAATCATGATTTTGTCTCAAGCATTGATATGTTTTCTTCACCTATTTTTTTATTTTAGAGTTCAATTTTTATCATTATAGGACTGCATCAGAGCTATTGATAGCACCCATATATCTGCAATGATACCAAATTGTGATGTGGCTAGCTATCGTAATCATAAATGATTTGTATCACAAAATGTTCTTGCGGCTTGCAACTTTGATCTAAAGTTTATGTATGTTCTTAGTGGATGAGAAGGTTCAGCTCATGATTCAAAAATATTAAATGATGCTTTAACAAGGAGCACTTCCAGATTAAAAGTTCTAGAAGGTATATAGTTCATATAGAAATTACAAGACGTTTTTACTTATATATAATTGACTTGAATCATTTGTTCACAATTTTCAGAATTTTTTTTTCTCGAAGATTGTGGATTTGCAAATTGTCATAAGTTCCTAGCACCATTCAGAAGTATTCGGTATCACCTACAAGAATTTACAGGTGAAGGTCGTGATCCTGCAAACCAAAATAAGTTATTCAATATACGGCATGCATCTTTGAGAAACGTAATCGAGAGAATATTTGGTATCTTCAAATCTCGGTTTCTAATTTTCAAATCTCCACCTCCTTTCTCTTTTAAAACACAAACAGAGTTAGTTTTAGCTTGTGCTGGATTACATAATTTTTTAAGGCAACAATGTCGATCAGATGCTTTTCTTGAAGAAGTGGTCAACGTAAACAATGAAAAAGATACTGATTCTGAAGAAAATGGAAATATAGGCATCCTTGATACTCAACAAAGAGAGTATGCTAATAATTGGAGAAATGAGATAGCTTCTAAAATGTGGGCAGATGCTGTGGGAACTGGAAGTCAACGTTGATGGTGAGAATGATTTATATGGTATTAATTTTTTTTTTGGTTCGAAACTGTCATGTTTTACGTTCAATAATGCTTTGATTTGAAACTGTTATGCTTTGGTTTGAAGCTGTTACGATGCAATTATCATTATTTTGGGTGTTTTTTTTTTTTTTTTTTTTTGTATGTATGGATTTCAAAAATCTTAGGTATATAGCTGATATTTTGAAAGTTGAGTCTTATGAGTAAAACTGCATAAAATCCATGTTCTAATAATGTTAGATTTTAATAGAATTACAAAATCAATGATATCTAGATTTTTTGAATAACAAAAGATTTTGGATAGAATTTAAAAGTCTTTAAACCAATAACAATGGATTTTACTAAGATTTGAAGAATCTAGAAATCAATAATGATGGAATTTCAAAATTCTCAAAATCTACATAAATCCCTCTCCCAATAACCCCCCTAATATTGGTATTATCATGTTATGGATTTTTACCAAAACAAAAAGTAAGCAATAATGACATATGTCATATTTGTCACCTAAAAACCAAATATAAAGTAAGCAATAATATCATATGCCATATTTTTCTATATAGTAAAACTGAATAGTTATAATATATATCATAATAATTTTAGAAATTTGTCATTATGACTTTTTCTGGTTGAAGTTTGATAAAAATATCATATATTTTTAATAATATATTTTGTATATTTATTATAAACTGTTAAAAGATATATATTAAAAAATGCTATCTTGAAGTATTATATACATTATAATAATTTTTATTCATGCAGGCTATAAATACAATAATATGTGAATAAAATCATTATGACTTTTTTAATTTGTTCTGATTGATTATTGAGAAAAATAAAATATTATTTAAAATTAATATATTGTATTTATAAAAATATTTTTAATGAACAATTAATAAACATATTTTCTGATAAAAGTAGTAAACATTAGTAAAATATTATATATTTTATTATGAGTTTGAGGAGAATAAAATAATATTTTTAATTTTTTATTGTATTTATAAGAATAATTGATAAACATGTGTTTTAAAATTATTGTATTATATATTTTGTTATAAATAATAAGAGTAGTAAACATTAAAAAGTATTATATAATAAATTATTTTCGTGTAAATTATAATTAGTATTGAAAATTTTATTCTATTAAATTATTAATTGTAATATTATTGTCTTTGAATTCATTTTAAAAATACGATATAATATACGTGTAGACGTAAAAGGGATAATAGCATATCATGTAACTAGTCTAGTAATCTATATTGTATAAAAAAAATTAGCTGAGAATGACTATGAGGTTAACACATCAGCATTTTATCAAAAAACTCTATTATAATAACTCGCACCTTATGCAGAGTAAAATAATTATTATTTATTTAAATTTAATATAATTTTAAAATTATATAATATAATATAATTAACTTTATATGAATTTTGGATAATATTATATTATAACATTGATAATATATATTTTTTAATGAAATGCATGCTAATTTAGTTGTTATATAAATTCATTTAAATTAATTTAAAAATTAAATATCATGCATAGCACCTGATATAGTTGGATAGAAATATGAAGTTGCTGTTCAAAAGCAAATTTCGGGATGTCACGTGGGGGTGTGTGATTCGTGGGGGGGGGTTGGAGCTATGCCTCCGAATTTCGTCCTCTGGGGGAAAGACGTCGTTGTTCTGGGATGGAAGCTTCTTGTCCTGGGGCGATGGGGTGAATGCTGCGCTTGATCAACACTTAAACAAAAGTCAGGCGAGCCTCCGAGAGGACCGAAAGGGGGTTTCCCTCCCAAAAGTTATCTGACACCTATGTCAATGAACGTCCTACCGGGAAGAGGTACTCAGGAGGGGGATTTTCTACGGGTTAGTGTGAGAAGTCTCCTCTGAAGATCGAGGTTTCTATCTGCTTTCGGGTGTTTCAAGGGGTTTCTACACATTGAAGGGAATGCGAAGCGAATATGAAGGCGTGGTTCCGGGTTATGTGAATGACTTAACCTGGTCGGTATTCACTCGGGAAGAACATGAAGTTCACCCATGATCCTGATGCTTGGCCGGATCGACTCTTTTAGATATCAGCCAATGCCCTCTCCTTTTTCCCTTCCTTCTCTTTTTTCTTTTCTTCCGAGTGATTCGCTTCCTACTTATACTCGCAGACTCTTCGTTCTGTCCCTTCCATGCGGCACGCCCGGAGAGTAGGTGAAAGTAATGATTCGGGGGTGTTTAGGGAAGTCCGCCAATTGCCCCAGTACAGTACACGGGAGTGGGTTGGCCTAGCATGGTGGCGTGTGTCAGCGCCCGGTGCAGTCTAGGTCCACGTGTCGAGTTCTCTTTCGACCCTGTAAAATAGGTCCCAACAGTTGCCCCCGACTCCTCGGCTGATCAGAGGATTAGTCGGGAAGTCGAATCCTCCTTGTCTCCCTGTAAAACGAGCATGGTTTATCTGGTTCCCTAGGTTTTGTGCCGCTTAAGGGCTGGATTGACGTGGCGACCATGCCACGTACCGCAAGGGATACAGTACTAGTCTGGGCGAATTTAAGTTCTAAATCATAGCGAAATATTTTGGAACTCATTGAAGTCGTGCCAGGGGGGGGGGGGGGGGGGGTGGAGGGGGTACGGTACTGGCTGGATGGTCCGGACTTCCGAGGAAGTTAAATTGGGTATCGACTTCGATTGGTGCATTCCGCGATGGAGGGCGCTCTTAGTCGAAGGAGTAGTCCAAAGTAGACTCTCAACCCTAACCTTATTCGTTTGTCCCGGAAGAGCACGTTATTGGTCGAGGGAATTTTACTTCCGAGGAAGCAAGCCGCGGGGCAGCTCTTATTAGATGTCAACTCCGACCTTATTCGCATCCGAGGGAGTACGTTAGCGATCAAAGAAATTACTCTTCCGGAGAAAACGAACCGTGAAACGGTCAGACTAGATACATATAAAAGGAATCGCCCAGTCTACGTTACGCATCCGGTGGAGTACGCCGTTCGGCCTGGGGAGTTACTAGATGAGAAGCTGTCTTATCCCTGCTTGAGCGAGGTTATAGTCTCGTGTGATCATGGGGATCGGCACAAGGCAACAACGCGGGCTAAGACACCGGCCTAAGGGCCAGAGGTGGCGCCGTCGGATGGATGAATGGATGTTCCCTGCATCGTGGGGGCAGTAACGCAAGGGGGAGTCGTTACTCGATTGCAGCTGGTGCGGAGTAGGGCGTTTCCCGAGGGCATTACCTCGACTCTTTTACTGCTTGGACAGTCTTCGCGTTGTGCTTACGCGGAAGTTGGTGGGTTTTGAGAACGTGCTTGTGACGTACCCCAGAGGAGAAGAGGTCGAGAAATTATGAGGAAGAGAAAGCCTGCGAGTGTTGTGCCTGAGTGGCAAGCGTGTCCTTGTGAAGAGCACACTGATTTGTCGCTCGGCCCTTTGGTGAGGACTGGCGGGGAAGATCAGGAGATCTGAGAGGCCTGAGCCCTAAGATCCCATGGGGATCCTGCCCCAATGGGCGAGCAAGTTCACGGGGAAACGTACTCAGGGTGTGCGCAGTCCACAGAGGGAGCTGGCACAAGGCGAGCCACTGGGGCCTGTTGGACCGGAGTCCTGAATTTCTGGAGGAATGGTGTCTCTGAGGACATGCCAAGAAAAGGTGATTCGAAGGAGATTATATACACGACAAAGGAGAAGAATTATTCGGTTGGTGCGTGGACAGGAAATTAAGTAATCAAGCAAGCAAGAAATCAGGCAATCAAGGAAGCAAGAAATTAGGTAATCAAGCAAACAAGTAATCAGGTAATCAAGCAAACAAAAAATCAGGCAATCAAGCAAACAGGAAATCAAGCAAACAAAAAATCAGTCAATCAAGCAAGCAAAAAACCAGTCAATCAAGCAAGCAAGAAAGACTTTAACGGTCGAGATCGTGTTAGGAGCGGTCACGTTTCGACCACGGTCATGGGTACCGTAAAACCCATCGTGAGGTCCGCGCCTGCACAGACGGTTACGTTCGACCAACGGGTGCGGCTGCTCGGCATCCCATCCCTGGAGTCGACTTCTCTCTCGAGGGGTGGGGGGGGGGGGGGGGCATTTACGCTAAGGGGTGCGAAATTCATACCATCGTGATTGTTTGTCATTTGATCTTCAGAAGACCATTGTAAGATCGGTGGTCTCCCTTCGGACGTTCCCACACAAATCTTTGGAGTCTGGCGAGTGCGGTCCACGTGGCGAGCCCTTGGCGGTTCGAGCCGCAGCGCGTCACTTCACGCAGCGTGCACCGCTTCCTTGAGAGCCACTGGTCGTCTTTTCTGATGTGGCGGACTCCTTTCCTCTCTCCACATTAAATGTGCGTCACTTCCCATGCACGGCTCGAGAGACTGATAATTATTAGCTCTCCAGTGACTTTTGGCTTTCCTCGACCGACGCGATCCCTCTCGCGTGCCTCTTCGGTTTCTTCTTCTTTTATAAAATCGGGTAACTCGCAGTTCTGTAGATTTATTCCATTTTCGGAGCAAACCCTAGAACTTTTCTCTTCTCGAACTACTTCTTTCCTTTTCCGGCCATACATCTCTCTTCTCGTTTAATTGATATGTCGGCTTCGAGTTCGTCATCTGGCAAGTGGCGTGCTCGCTATTCCTAGGCCAGCGGTGAAGTCCAGGATATTGCCGGGATGTCCTGAGAACCTATCCACTGCCCCCATCCTTGGTGACCGCTCCGGGAGCCGCGAATGGCGGAAGCGGTACATCTTCTGGACAGTGCCGCCGAAGGTCAATGTCCAGCTCACCTGGAGGCCGAGGGGTACGATTCTTCTATTACCGCTGTCTTTTTCTTTCGAGTTTAGTCCGCCGACCATTCTCTCATCGCTGTTTTCCTTTTATCAGGCTCCGCGACGCCGGTGGCCTCTGAACAGGTCGATCTACACCGCCTGCTCGGGATACCCGAACGGTTCCAATCGTTCGACTTCCTGCTCTCTCCGTCGAGCATCGGGGCGAGTTCGCTTGTCCT